GAAAAGTTGGTAAAAGTACCAGGCAGGCAGAAATTACTCGAAATTCTTTTAAAATTAAAAGTTCTATAGGTTGTATTTATTTATTTATCTGGGATAAGCCGATCAACGAGCAGACGGGTCACCCGATGGTAAGTAATCCGCGTTGCCCATGGACATGATTGTGGAATACCAGAGGCATTACAAGTGCATTACTGGCCTTTTGAGGATTAGGAATTTGAGGATTCTTAGGCATTCAAAGATTGGGGAGATTGGAGGAAGAGAGAGGAGTTATTGCGCCTCCGCTAGCCTCACTCACACAACGTAACGCAACGTTGTTTCACGTCGGTGTACTTAGAGGCCATGGTATCACTCCGGTCGAGCCAGCCCATTCATACCGAAGCATGGCTATCTCACACTAAAATAGAAGATCATGAGAAGATAGATTACGTCATAGTTTTAGGAAAAGGTGCACATAGGTTTATTTTATGTTATGTAATTAATTACATGTAAGTGTGGTTGAAGAGGACGATTTCTTTTTTAATTTCTATTATACTAGAATTTAGAAAAGCATCAATTGGACTCTTAATACATTTACCTATCAACTCAAAACATGACCAATGAAGATTCCACTCCTTCTAGAATTACCTAATCAACGTAAAATCTTACTTATTACAAAGTAATACAGACTGTATTGTTACAACATTCATTAATATTTTCATCTAGTTACTAATGATCCTTTGGTTATTAGGTTTAATGATTCAGTATTAAATACTGTTTTCTATTCATCTTTTGAAACTGAAACCTGTCTAACGATAAAGGCAATTAAGCTTAGTAATCTTAGTACTTTGTATATTGTATCAATTTGATATTAATTAATTAACAATATAATCAGAGAGTTGGTATTGATTTCATTGTAATACTAACCTTTGTACTGAGCTAATTTGTAGACGGTCTATTTTATCAAGTATAGTTGTAAATATGACTCTAATGTAACACCACATCCACCATTATATTTTCTTTTCTTGTTTTAACTCATATACTTTGCCTCATAGATTGCACTATCCAGGGATAATAAGCCATGCCTGCGTTTTGGTCTGTGACTTCTTGTTAGCGTAAAACACTCCTATTGGATGGTTACTTTGAATGGACTGCCTCGTTGGCCGAGTGGTCGCAAATGCGACTGCCGAGCAAAGGGTCTCGGGTTCGATTCCCGGGTCGGGCAAAGTATTACTGGGTTTAAAAAAAAATCTCAGTAGTAGCACGGATTCTGGAATTGTGCTTGGTACATGGCAATAGGCACACCCCCTATTACATGGAACTTATAATAGTGAAAAGTGGGTGTTACATTGTACAATGGCATAATGTGCACCTCTACCTACGGGATAAAAGGCGTGATGTTATGTTTTTTGGATGGTTAATCCCATCTGATAGCTCCCTCTTTCATGTTGAGAATCTAATGAGTAAGCTCGGAATGTCTTTTCTTTTCAGTTTTACGTGGAGCAATCTATACTGATCATTCAAGGTCCGGACTAGTTCATTACAGTTATTTTTTGTTTATTTACATATCACAAAAAACAGAAGAAAAAAAAGGGTCCATGTCCTAAAAACTAGGTAGAACAAAGGAAGAAGGAAAAGGAATAAGAAGGAATGTAATATCATAAATGTTTACATATACAAGGTGTAGTTTTAAAACCGTGTAATTTTTTCGGGACATGTCACAGAAGGCATAAAGGTTCAATGTAAGTAAAAGTTTCGGGCCAATAGTTAAAAATACGGCCATAATAAAAAGTTTAAGTTCGACAGTGTTTCAGAATAAGCGACAACAATGGTTCTTATTGGAGTTTTATGGAATTAGGAATAATATCAATTACGTGTTTGAGATTGTGTGTGTTAAGCCGCGTTATAAAACTAGTTACAAGACGGCGGCGTGTAGTTCGCACTTATGGATTTCCGTAATTTACAGAAAAATGAAAAATATTTACCTACAATTTTTTTTATTCATTCGGACTAAAAATTGATAGCTGAGTTACCTCCTAGAAAATGACGCGGCTTTAAAACAACACCTTGTATACTAGAATTTTTACAGTACATTAGGCATTTTTTTTAAGGGGGAAAAAAATAAGTACATTAGGCATAGGTCCAAAAAACTGGAACGACTAATTAATTTTATATGAGACCTGGATATAATTCATGTACCTAGCTTTAAAACATTTGGCGTCCTTTAATTAAATAGAAATCATAATTACAATAAAGGTAAGGTAATCAAGCATTCTACCATTTTATGAACATTTAATCTTAATACAGATGAAACATGTGTTTGTAAAATGTAAGATGTAGACGAGAGAACATAAAATGCTTTATAGCTTAAAGTTTATCGTTTGTGGGACATTTTGTTACGCAAAAGATTACGCGTAACCATGATGCGTGAGTTTTGTGATTACTCGAGTAAAAGGAGGGGATTATAAGAGATTTTTTAAATTTTAAACAAAGTTTAATAAATATTATTAGTTAATCAAAATGCTACTGATTGCTGACTTAAATGTATTGTTATTTCTTTACTTACCTAACAAAAGTTAGTAAACTAAAAATTGTTAAATAGAGATAAAACGGTGTCAAACAAAAAAAGCAAAGCGAATAAAACGTGTTAGTTACTCTAGAAGAATTACAAAGAAGAGAAAAACATTAAAGATGATGATGATGATTTCAAAACCAATCCCTTTTTACATCTTTGTCGTGCAGTTTGGAAGTGGTACAATTTAGTGTAACTCTTTGTGTAAAACAACTAAATAAACACAGGTGGCGACACATGTCAAACACTATCGATGAAAACAAATCAATGAATGACGTCACAAAAATCCTACATCGCACATGTGAAGTTTACATTCGATTTAACACGGATAGAAAATCCCAACGAACACCCTCGCCTGGTCGGAGGATCCTCCTTTTCCGATCTTAGGAAAATATACTCTCTGTTCCTTCAACATTTTTTTTACAATACTATTATTAAAAAAAAGCTTTACTTCACGCTATGACAGAATTACGAAGAAAACGACCTCATTTTTTCCTAAAGTGCACGAACTTGACCTTGAAATTCTCCAAAATGAAAGTATAGAAAATAATTCATAGACGGTGCACCGTTCTCCACAATATTTTTACCCCTGGCCTTGGTGGCTTCCTCGACATGCGATACTCAAGTTTGCTCGATACTCTATCGATTAGCATTTAACGAGCGAGCACGATAACTTTCGATGTTTCGACAATGTCACTTGGTATCTGGTATCTTGTAAATATGTTTTGGAAATTTTATGAGAGAGATAGCTTCTGCCCGCGACTTCATACGCGCAATCCCGTTTTCCTGTTCCCATTCGTGATTTTCGGTAAAAAATAATAAAAAATATTGGATAAAAAGTATAATTTTTATTCAAATCGATTTAGCCATTCTTGTGTTATAAATAGTGTAACTAACACGACTTTCTTTTATATACTATATAGATTTTATATGTCGACTGTTGTTTTAATGGTCAAATTCAACTACAGTGTTCAACACTTGTCTCGGAATTGTACAAACGAAATATAAAGGTGCTTAGTTTAGAATCATAATCGTTTTATGGTAAGAGGCCATATGTCTTTATAAACACTTTGTCTTTCTATGTGTTTCACCCACCCAAAGAGAATAAAAAGGTTTACCTGGTTTATATGTAAGTCATTAGGGCAGTTCCAATGAGAGATTGGTGGATATGTTTTGTAGCTGATTTTATTATAATGAATATCTTGGAGACGCGATCGAGACACGTATAAATGCGCACTGCCTCGCTTCAGTAGCGGCTGTCCGCCGAAACCGCGCTCCACTCAACCACGCGTACGCGCACCGAAGAAAACAATACAAAAAACATTTTCCGATTAACCGAAAATTTTAACAAAATCAACCATGAATAACCCCGCTTTGTACGAGCAAGTTAACGCCATGCCGAAGAGGGATGTACTCAACATTTTAGATGACATCTCCCCTAAAGTAATGTGGAAAAAGAGAATCAGCAACTAGCTGTTGTCCGCGACTTCGTCCGCGTAGAGTATGATTCCTGTTTTATCCCGTGAGAGCATTTCATCGGAATAAAAAGTCTTATCTATTTTACCTATCCTATCACCTAAGTCAGCCCAGCACAGCGACCTGTATACCAAATTTCATCAATATCAAAATTATCAAAATCGGATAAACATCCAAATAAAGAAACTTACACATTTATAATATTAATGTGATCTTACGATCAAATGTAGCGATAGTTGGTATCAAAATCAACAATGACATAATTTGATAAATCCATATATTTATGCGGATACCAGGTTATATGAAATACTATATATCACATTACCTTAAATTCTAAGTTCTAAGAAACCATGAATAGTTTCTATAGGAAACGATACTGACATTGTACGCTTCCACGAAATTATTATTATTCGATACAATGGAATAATTTTCACAAACTTCTAAAGAAACTATAAACTTGTGGTAGGTACTAAGAAACATAAACAAGGTCAATAATAGCTATTAAATTCGCTAGAATTTATAAAAAATGTGCTCTCGGAAGTGTTGAAACTTTCAATATTTGAAATGAAATATAAAAAATATATATTTCGTAGTTTTTTTATGCAATCTCTATAAAAGAGTCGACATGACGTTTGTCTACATCTCATTAAAATAGTTTTTTCTTTCTAATCATTCCTAAAGTTCATGAATCTTTTCCATTGGTATTTTCGCTTCTATTCAACACATAACATAACATCACGCCTTTTATCCCCGAAGGGGTAGGCAGAGGTGTACATTATGCCACTGTACAATGTAACACCCACTTTTCACTATTTATGTTATGAGTCCCATGTAATAGGGGGTGAGCCTATTGCCATATACCGGGCACAATTCCAGACTCCGTGCTACTACTGAGATTTTTTTAAAACCCAGTTATTAAATCTAATTTGCATCATCATAATTAGTTTCATTCAACAACTCTTTTTATATATTTTTAATTGGTCGATGTTGACCACTATCTCGCCTAGTGGTAAACGATGATGCGGTCTACGATGGAGCACTTACACTCATTACAAATCCATAGCAAAAACGACGATACTTTCACCTTCTCCGTTCCCTATACAAGCTTCCTCTCCCATATTCATTTTTACCTCATTCACATACCATCTAGTCTCACAATATTACAACTTTGCTTGATAAGAGTTGTTCTACGTGTTATGTAGGTTGTTCGCACCCTCAGATTTTATGACTTGCGAGGCAAGATAGGCTTCCATGCGTGCTAACGTTATATTCCGTGTGAATGTTCAATCATGTACTTGTATGTTCATAGTTTAGTTTATGTTGGTAGTTGATGAGATCGATACTTCGTAATTTGATAAATAGGTTGATGTAGAACTAAGGTTAGCAACTGGATATATGAGTTACGAATGAGAATAAACTTCAGATTTTAGATCACGCAATTCAGTATAACAATTAAGCCAGTGAACGGTTCATTGTTCTTATATATCGTTATATATAATCAAATAATCAAACTTATTCATAATATTTCTAACAAGACATTTGTATAAATAAGAAACCCTCTTGCGTATTCCAACAAAAGTCTAATCACAAACCACACACTTAAGTACGTTCAGTTCAAAAAGAAAATCTACTGCATACAAAATCAAGAATCTATAAATATCAAAATCAGTTGACTATACAAAATCTAGTGCGGAGGAAGTAACTCGAAAGCCACGTCACTAAAAGTACCGAACTACTACAAACATACGTAGATTTATTGGCAGCCTAAACAAATACGTAGTGTTGACACCGTCTTATTGAATGAGCCGTAAAGTGGAGTCTTTTATGGGTACCCAAATACCCACAAACACCCAGATTGGTACTGGACGGGCGTTCCCAAGTCCACCTGTTTCAGTCACCCCAATTTTTATTAAATTTATTTTTTAAAATTCAGAAATTAATCTATGTTTTACTATGTCGTATAGCACGCTACACAATTATTATGTAAGTAATATAAATTAAGAGTTATGAGTTCTGAGTCCCATGTAATTGGGAATAAGCCTTTTTTTTAAATATTGTCGTACAAAATCGAAATGGATGCATATTTTTGTTTTACTTTGTGTGATTCAAAATGGTGCATTATGGAGTATACCGCGTTTGGGATCGGGTAGCAAAGGTTCATTTTCGGCAACAGTAATTTTATTATTCAATGTACAAATATTCGTGGAAAAAGGCCGTATTGATTTGAAGCATTTCAATTGAACTAGATGGTTGAGAACATTTTCCGATTCAATTTTGTAATCTTGTTTTGAGAAAATCGTATTCATATTATTATTATAGTGAATTTATATTCATACCACGTGAACTGTTTATTTGAACGAAGCTTTTTTAATAAACAGAACATACATATTTAAATAAAATAAAATCGTGTTATCATTGCCTAAATAATTTAATGTTTTGTTTTTATGTTTTTTTTCTACGCAGCACTTAAAATCCATTCAAATTAAAATAAAGAGATAATATATCCAAACACGTCATCACATTGCTACGGCGTAGCAGGATTGTAGACTACTACGGCGTAGTAAATGCTACGAAAAAAAAATTAATACAAAATCGCAATAACTCTTAACCTACAGACTACTTAGCAACGGCTACGACCACTTGACCAACGAGTCCTATTAAACAAGATCACTTCAAACTCCAAAGTAATCTTAGGCTCATTACCTAAGTTTTACGTTCGGGCGGTTAATAGAGCTTACAGGGGGACTATTGGGTTAAAACTTGGGTTTAAACTGTGTAAACTTGCAACTTGTGGTTGGTGCGTGGTTAGATTTAGTCTACGTTAGTTTACCTCGGGATTAGTTTTGATTGAACGCTGGTCTTGTGGCGGGAGCCTTGATACGGACGCACTTGGGAACTCGGCTGCGGTTAAAGGTTAATGTTTGTGGGGTTTCGTGGCTATAGTTGGTACAAAATTATCTTTATTAATGAATATTTAATATTAGCAAGAAAGAGAAAGGAGTTAAGGTAAGAGTTGCACTACAACTGTTTAGCCACAGAAGCTTAACCCCTGGAATATTATATTCTAGATCAAAAGTCAAGTTTAACGAAATATACTTTCCAAAATATTTTCCTATTTTCATTTTTCAAATGTAACATTAAGAAGGTTGTTCTTGCATTTGCATGGTTTTGTTGTGTTCTTGCATTGTTATTTCTATCGGTTTCTTCGGTATTATTACTTTTTTTTTAATTGATATTTATCTTGTTTGTGTAACACACTATGTGTCTCGGTGTTGTATATCTTTTCCTGCCACAGGCCCACAGGAAGAAATTCCAGTTGGAATATGTGGGACCTATGTACTCTGTTTTTATATATGTATTGTCCTCTGTGTTGAATGTGTGTACATAAATAAATAAATAAATAAGATTTTTTCCGATTCCATAAAAACTCTACTAACTTTATTCCTACAGTCTACAAATTACATTACATATTCAGTATGTATCACCTACAACTGTGTTTTGTTTCAGACAAATGTTACCACTATTCACTATTGATATTTGAGGTCAGACCATTTTGGTTCAGAAGGATCTTTGTTCCCGTTGTTTACATTTTCACTTCATACATGGTGTATCATTTCTTTGAAGACATATAAATTTTTCGCCCACGGTGTAATTAATTTTCAGGAAGTGGTATTAGGACTATCGGTATCAGAGTATCCCATGGAGTTTCTTGCTCATTCTTCTCAATAGGAATCTATACCTTGGAATGATAAATTAGCGTCACTTTTATTTTTGTACTTTGACGTTCAAAAGTGCTTTTCTGGTCTAATTGAAATAAATGACTTTGACTTAGGATCACAAGTCTAGCTAACAAGTTAAATATTTTTCTTTCCATTTAAATCAAGTTCAAGTCGGTTTTCTTACAGATGTTGTTTATAAGTAGACAGAATTTTGTATCGTAATTGATATTTAAAAATTGAGTGTTCCCTTAAATTTACATCGATAAAATAACTAATGTAATTTTTATTATTATTTTCGAAACTGAAATGTTTGGCTTTCCAAGAAAAATCGAGTTTCATTCGAAAGCTTTCCAATACCAAAACATCGAGTTCTTAGCAAACAACCCTTGTACAAAGCACAGAGCCTTTACAAGTCTTTGCGAATTTGTGTTCGACATTCAAGGTCAAGGACAATGTTCAGAAGTAGGTGAAAGTAGGCTCTGGCCTAGAGCTGCGGTTGAAACGTTTGAAGTTAACAGAATTACTACTATTGAACTGGTCAATGTAAACTATATGTAGACATTAAATAGATTTTAAAAATATAAGTACGTATTTGTTATTACTAAAGTTATTTACGTTTATTAGAGATAGTTGTGTGGGAATGTAAGTTTAATTAATGTTCTATGTGCTTATGTTCTTTTGTTTTTCTTTGTCTAAATTATTTTACGGTTATTAGGGGACATCGTGTAATAAGTTTACTTATAATGTGTAACTGCATTTATTGTATTAGGTGTGCCTGTGATGATAAATGTAATGTTTAAATATAGAGGTAAATAAATAAATTACCTCAAGAGTTTTATTTCTCGAAGAGATAGGCAGTCCACATTTTCAATGTAACATCGTGTTTCAACATTTATTTTATGAATCACATTGAATTGGGGTGAACTCACAACCAAATATCGGATGTATTACTTTCACACTCCGTGCTATTACTTTAATCACTACACAGTATAAAACAAAGTCGCTTTCTCTGTCCCTATGTCCCTTTGTATGCTTAAATCTTTGAAACTACACAACGGATTTTGATGCGGTTTTTTAATAGATAGAGTGATTCAAGAGGAAGATTTATATGTATAATACATACATATTGCGCACGTGAGAAGCCGGGGCGGGTCGCTAGTTATTTTGATAAACGAAAAGAGTAATAGTTTGCCCGACCAGGGAAACAAAACAAATCTCAGCAGTTGCACTTGCAACGGCTAACCACTTTCTAAGAAATGAAAGCAAAGTAACCAGACTAATTGGTAATCTAATGCTGTTTCAAGAAAAACTCCTTCCAGAATAATCTAACAAGATATAGTATAATTTTACATATATACTATGTAGCACGTGCACTGGACCCTTTTCACCTTCAACCCCTCCAAAATAATGCAATTTACATACTTTTCAGGAAAGTTTGTTCGTCCGCTGAAAGTTTCAGCCTTAGTTACTTGCTAACAAGAAACATCGTTGGGTGCACATGAAACTTATCAAACTTATTTATTTCATAAGTTTTCAGAGAATATACTGAAACTGAAAACTGTGTGAATGTGAATTACATGGATTTTTCTACTTGACTGCCTTATTAGTAAAGGTTTTGCATGTGTCTGTATTGAATACAAAATTTGATTTTGACCCTTGGCGTTACATGCAGATAAATGTATGTTGTATATACATAAGTAGATAGTAACTAGATATAACAGTAGGTATTTAGATTAAAAATTAAAAATGAAATAAGATTTAAATAAAAACTCATATTATGGTAAGCTGTAAAAAATAGTTTTTCTTATGGAATAGGAGGTAAACGAGCAGACGGATCACCTGATGGATAGGATACCCATAATTATTTGTCAAAAGATCTAATTTTGTAAATGTGTATAGTCAGCTACATCATATTCAATTATTTTTTTAAAAATATACATAGTGTATCACACGAATTTTATAAATGGGAAAGTTTCTTTGTTTGGATGGATGGATTGAGTATTTGGATATTTGGATGTTTGTCCATCAATCACGCTGAAACTACAGAATGGATTTTGATGAAATTTGGTATACAGGCAGGGTATGTGTCAGACTGGTATAACTTAGGTAATAGGATACTTTTTATCCCGATTCAAACCCACGGGTAAAAAGCTAGTTATCTGTATTTTAACAGGCGAAATACTCCTACACTATTCCCTTAACCAGGAAATCATTCACATTATACATCACTCATAGCATTGATTGTTCATTCATAATGACAGTAGCAAGGTTGCCACGACAATATCGCAGGGTTG